ATTCTGGCAAAGAAAGAAAGAAAAGAGAAGAAACAAAAAGATTTCAAAATATTTAACTGAAATATAATCATTAGGTTTAGCAGAGTAACGTTTATCTGATGTTATGCCCTCTTTTCCTTTTTACTTTTTGGTCCTTTTGAAAATAACCTAATTATGACTTCCTTGTTGGTGGCAAAAGAAAAAATTTCAGGCACTTTTACTATCTCAAGCCAATCTATCTGACTAGTCAAATATGGTAAATACTTTGTTCATTCACCTACATCGCTACCTACTGTTGTCGATACCGGTCATTATTCACTCTGTAGAAAATAACTATAAAATACTAAATGATATATAACGATATATAAGTTTTATCTTCTTTTTTTTTTACACTAAAACTTGCGACAATTTTTAACAGTGTTTCCTGCTAAAACAGTATGAAAAAGCATTTTAATATATTCTCCAAAAGTTTTTTTTTCCTTTCAAATTATGACGAGACTGGCAGGCCACTTACTAGGACTTATAGAAAATTGCAAAAACCAGGAACTAAACTTAAATACGTTGCACTGTTTAGATATGGCCCACGGTTTACGCTAAAATAAATTTCTGGTCCACTAAATGACAATGACTAAGTTGTATAAATTCTGAAAAATAATTACACAACGTTTAGCAAGAAAAGTTCAGTTTTATCAGCGGCGCCGACAATAACTTTTAAAGTGATAGAGATTTTTTAAAATTTGGTTACTCCAACCTGTTTACACGTTCACCATGTCTTTAAAAAACTAGCCGTGATCAGTTTGGTTAGAAAGCTTTTCTTCAAGTCCAAGTGAAATTCTCAACAAAGTCAGTGAAGTAATCAAATGCTGATTAAATATTGCTCAAAAGAAAGTTTTGCTTCTTCCAAAGTTAAGCTATCATAATAGCGTCTTTATGGAACACAGAGCGCCTAATAACTACGATTACTGCACTTGCTCAAAATATATTAAATTTTGCAATAAATTGAAAATACTCAAAGTCATTATACCATATGGCTGATCAAAGTTTTAGAGAAATTGGAAAAAAAAAGAAGATCACACAAGAGCAAATTAGGATTATAATGCAACAGAGCAGAAATTAAAAAAAAATTGCTTCAAGATTTTATTCGATCAAAATTTATAAGAATTGCAAAACATATTGGTTTCCGGTAAATATTTACGCCTTACGCTCCGTTACAATGACTTCTTTTAGTAATAACTAATTGTTTCTGGCTTTTTTTTACAGTTATTTTGGGGATAATTGTATTCACTACCAAAAGTTTGATTATCAGTGTTTCCGCTGAGAAATGCAATTTTACTAATGCACTGATAGAGACATACGTATTGCTTTGTTCAATGCTTCATTGCAACGGTAATACGGTTAAAAAAATGTATTGTAATTGAATAGACCTTAAACAAGATCTTTTTCCTTCATCTTCGAAGCCAATAGGAAAAAAACACCTAAATAAACTTACTGGACCAAGAAGGGCTTTGTTGTCCAAGGGACCTTTTATTTTAGCCAATATAGCTCCCATTTTGGTAATTTTTTCGTGTATTGTTGGCGTAAAATGTTCAACAAATTGTGAAGCCAAAGTGGAAATGACGTTAAATAATTGATTTTGCAAATTCTGCAACCGATCTGTACAGACTTTATCGACTTCGCTCTTTGAATCGCCAGCCATAATAAGGAAGATTTTTTCCAGTTCAACTCTACAAATGCAGACAAATTTTGTTTTTGACGACGTATTTGACGATGTATCATGGAAATGGCCAACAGGATAAAATAGACGTTGAAATAATTTTAAGAAAAATTTAAACAAGAACAGACCTAAGCTGTTGTATATTATTCTGCAATATGCAGGCCAATTTTTCATCACCAACGTAGTTCGGGAAATCTTTTTTAACCAAATCAGAATAAGTTAAAAGGACTTTGCAAAGCGTCTTTGAAAATCTTCTCATCATTTCCAGCGATACTTCGGGATTTGGTGAATCCATCTAAATCATTGTGTCATTGCCATTCACTGTTATTATTACTATTACTACGATTAGTATTGCTATTATTATTACTACTATGTTTGCTTTTTTAAATAGAATAATATTGTGCATAGCATTTCATCAACTGTTTCATATTTTACATAATAAAAGCTTAATTTCTTTTACATTCAAAGCAAAAATTGAAATCATAACAACAATGCTTTTTATTAAAAAAAAAGGAGAATTCTCATAACCTGTCATTTAATGACATTCAAAAGTCGAATAAAAAATAAGGAAAAAAAATTAAAAGGAAAACTAGTGCGAATTTCAAAGAAAAAATAAAATTGAAAAAAGAAAAGTAGAAATGAAATAAATCAGTTTTCCCAAACTATGAAATTAAATTGCTGTAAACCTTTAAACAAAATTAAAAAGTTGTTTTTTCTTCCTCTGAAACAAACTTAAGCTCCTTAGAATACTAGTTTTTATGAAATGTTGACTACAATATATTTCTGTTGTCCGATTCCCAGTGTTATTCCCATTCAGATCAAATTAAGACGTATAAACCAAAAGGGCAAACGGCATTAAAAAAAAAAAAAAA